CTCTTTATAAGATTGCAAAATACAGAAAAATAAAACACTTCTTGCTAAGAAATAGTTTCTTACTAATTCTCTAAGTAAAATAAGAAAACAATTTTGCTCAACATTTCTCAATACTATGTTGTATTTTCAGTCTGTTTATTCTGGCTTCTTCCTGAGAAGCACTGTTAGTGTTGAATAAAAGTTGAGCAATTAAAAAGAAAAATAAACATCAGGAACTTTGTAGATCAAAACTAGTGAACACATCCTTAAGGCACTGTATGATAAGTTAAGTGATAACATCATTATTATTTGTGTTACTTCTTTGATCTGCTAAAAGGTTAAATGATATAATCAGTCTTGTATTTCTGAATTTTCTTTCTAGTTGCTGCATGTAGCAACATAGCTAAGAAATAGGTTAACTATAAAAGCTTTTGTCCTCTTTCTCACCCCACTGTATACTTCTTTTAGTTTAAGGTAGGTAAAGAAGGAATTCAGTATATTTTTTGGTACATATTACTGTATTATTTAAGAAAGTTATACAAGAGGTAGAATTCCCTGAGGAATGTGCACTCTGAGGTCACAGATTTCAGTTTCTTATATAACTATTTTGGATTTGAGTTGAGTAACTTTTCCTAGCCTTAGTCTCTAGACATGTAAAAGATGAAAACTAGGGGCTCAAGTGGTAGCATATGTCAAGTAAGTGCAAAACTCAAAGTTTGATTCCTGGTCCACATGCCAAACCCTTACCTTCAGCACTGTGGGTTGTAGCGCTGATGAGGACTAATAAAACCTACCCTGAATTGTTAGAGGAATTTATGGTATTCCCCAAATAATTAGAACATAGCTAAAAAGTTGCATATGATATTAGAATAAAGCAAGAGCAATGAAAACATTAGAAAATTTAGATGGCATTTTAAAAAGTGATTGATTAAACATAGGCAGCTAAGCTCTAGGCACTTGCTAACCTGGCTCGAGTTTCAGTTCAAAGAGGGAAATATGGCTAGTCCCCAAATCATCCACCCAAAATTTAAATGTGAATTATTAGACAATACTAATTGTGAATTAATAGTTCTTCAAAAAGTTAAACAGAATTACCATATCATCTGTGATTATTTGCTAGCAACATACTTTTTTTAAAAAAGATTTTTTTTTTTGTTTTGAATGCTGTACCTGGCTGCTCAGGACTTACTTCTGACTCTGTGCTCACAGGTCATGGAACCGTAAGAGATGCCAGGGACGGAAACTGGGCCAGTTGCAGTGCAAGGCAAGTGTGCCAAGTGCTGTTCTGTATCTCTGTTCCCAGAAGATACATAAGGAATGAGAAATTCCTTGAAAACAGATATTCAATTGAAAATAGGCATTGATTTGAAAGTAGGTACTAACTTGAAAATAGAAGACTTTTAACCCAAGATCTATCAATGAACGCACAGGTAAGCAAAATGTGGCATATACATACAATGAAATATTATCAGCCATAAAAATTAATGAAGTAATTATACATGATACAACATGAACAGACTGTGAAAACATTACGCTAAGTGAAAGGAGTCTGAACAAGAAGTCACATATTGTATGATTTTGTTTACATTAAATATCAAGGACAGTTACAGTTATAGAGATTGAAAGTAAATTAGTGTTTGCCAGAGGCTGAAGAGAAGAAGAAATAGAAGTCACTTATTTATGCGTATGTTTACTCCTTCAGGAGTGTGAGAATATTTTGCAACTAAAGTCAATGGTTGCACAACATTGTAAATGTACTAAATGCCACTTAGTGATACACTGTAAAGTGACTAATTTTATGTATATGAAATTCACCTCAATAAAATTAAAGTATAATCAAACAAAACAAAAACAAATGAATAATCTGGAAAAAGTGCAATTATTTTTAATACTCATATGAGGGGACATTTTAAAAAATAAAATATTTTTATTCAGATATAATGTCAGTCTTCGTATCATTGTTCAGAATGTCCTTCAAAAGAAGCTGATGGCTGTGATGGACACTGTGGTGACTGGTAAGTTTTGGTCAACCTGGGAGTGTGTTTTGCTAATAACGTGTGTGGCTTCTGATAAACAGGTTTCACTCAGTGATAAATTAAAAACAGAAAGAGGAAGAGATGGCTTCTTCTTCAGGAATCCATCATCAATATTTCCCCTGGTCAAATTCTTGGGAGTTATAGAGGTATAGGTTTCTAACTGCAAAATCAGCCAAGTGAGTGGGTGCAAATTGTCAATTAGAAATACAGCTTTGTGCTTCAAAAATTATTTCAAAAGCAGGAATAACAGAATGTTGGAAGTGTGCAGTGATGGTGCTGAGATAGTGAAGGTTCTCCTGAGAAAGACTCTAATTGGATAATCCAAGAGTAATTATAATCCCATATAGTTCTGTACAATAAATCATGCCCAGTACTTTCAGGGAGGAAATGTTTCTCTACACTGAAACAATGTAAATGGAAGCTCTTTGCAAAGTGTAAAATGTTTATCAATTATAGTTTTCATTGTAACTAATATCTGGCTACAATATCTTAATATATAAACATGGTTGAAAGGCATATACAGTATCCATTTATCATTCTCAAAACACTGAATACCAATGATATACCAACGAGGGTAGGGTATATTATAAAAAAAAAAATGAGGCTCTACGTGCCTAATATTTGCCCTAAATTCCAAGTCCCCAAAACTGGAGACTTGAGAACTTTGGCTTCTTGTTCATTCCCAAGCTTGCTACATCTCCAAGGGTCCAAATGACCAAGAATTAATATTGCTGAAATACTCATTGTTCAGTAACTTTTAAAATATGATTAATGTGTCGGGCAAAAGTCTGACCATTTCTGTGTATGTTAATGCAGTGCCATATTCTTTAAATTGCTGATACTGCTTTCAGAAGCCATGATACAAAAACGGCATGCTACTTTTTCTGTTATTGAGCACACATGTTTAAGTGTCCTGCTAAGCTTTATGCAAACGAACTATCACTTAATCTTAAATCAGCATTCTGTTGGAAATATATTATCCTTCTTTTGTTTATACATAAACTAAGACTTAGAAAGATTAAATAACTTGTCCAAAGTCTTAGGCAGTAGTATAAATGTGTGGTAATTCTTGTAGGCATTTATTTATGAGTCCGCGTGTATGGGGGTGGGGGTGTTGGGTCATGACCCATAAGTGCCTGGGGGCTACTCTGCTCAGTGCTCTGGGGACCATGTGCAAAGGGTCTACTGAGGCTCCCATATTCAAAGCATGTACTCCAGCCCTTTGGGTCATCTCTCTGGCTTCTTTTAATTGAAAACTTTATGAAAATTAGAGTTAGGATGAATAGACTTCTGTAATTCCTACTTGAAGAGTCAGATATGTGTGGAACAAGTGTTGATCTAAGAATTAAGAGACAGGGTTGGGTCCATCTTCCTTTTTAACTCCAAGCTCATAGCTTCATCACTCTGCTATATAGAGACACAGGACCAGTAAGTGAAGCTTTGATTCCCCACCCAGACAATTACAGTATTAAGTTCTGGGTCATTGTCATTATACAGACTAAAATCTATCGCATTCAAAGTTTTTATACACATTTGTCTTAGGATTGGAAACATTTAGAAATTTTAGTCTTCTGATCAAGGACAATGAAGCGTACCTCCACATACTTCTATTAAAATGTTTTTTGCCAGAGAATTTGAAAATTCAGACTATTGAGTTATTCCGCTATTAGATTTAAGGTGTTGAAACATAGCAACTGTGCTTTTTACTAATATTTTTCTGTACAGATGTGTATAATGTGACAGGTTAAAACAATTTATTTGGCAAAATATTTATGGTTTACCTGATACTGTGCTAGGTACTGCCTTGTAGAAGTTAGGGTATAAGAACTCAATTAAGTGTCAACTGTGGGCTTCTTGAGGGAGAATAACGACCTTTATCATTTTGGGTAAATTCTACCTCTGGAGTTCATTACCAATTCTGTAGATAAGGGTGTTGGATATACAACCGTTAACTGTTCTGGGTTTGTGTGAAGGCTTTTGTCACCTGCCTCCTACCCTCATGTCAAAACGTCCATCTCTATCCCTGCTTTGCACCCACTAATTAGTTCAAGTGTTTACTGAACTTAACTTTCAGTGTCAGGTAGTTATGATAAGTCGTAAGTTGCCAATAACACAATGTTTCCACTTATGGGAGTTTGCAGTTCAAAAGGACTAAATGAAAGCGCCAACTACAAATAAATGCACAAAACAGCCACTACTAGACAGCAACTAATTATAAGTTGGAAATTGCGAAGAAGAAAATAAGGGTGGCGTGTTGTCTCAGTTTTCCGTCCTGGAACGAAGTGAACGAAGTGAACGAAGGCTCCTTCCATCCTCCAAATGACAAGCGATGGGCGGGGGGGGGGGGGGGGGTCATTCGATTCAAACAGAGTGAAAAAAAAAATAATCCTACAACCCATGGAGGGATGCGTGAAAAAAAAAAGGTTTTTACTACTGAAAAACATTGCAACGTGACTGGCGATGTTCTTGGAAGAGGAGTGGCTTCTCAAAGAAGGCGCCGCGAGAAGCAAAAAAAAAAAAAAAAAAGAAAAGAAAAGAAAAGAAAAATTCACTTGAATTTTCAAGGCAAGCTGGAAAGCAAAGCGAAGAGAAAGAAGCTGGAGGTCAAAGAGGGAAGCAGTCGATTTGGCCCGGCCAGGCACATTCCTTTCAGTCTCTTTGGCAGCCCCCCTCCCCTCCCAACCGGGGATGGAGAGACTTCGAGAGCCGTGAACTTCGGAGGGGGGAGGGTCTCTTCTGAGTAATACGGCCGGTGGCGGGAGCGTGGGACGCAGAGGTCAAGGTGTGGCTTGGCCCGGCGGGCGCGGCGCGACGCGGCGCGGGAGGCAGGGAGCAGGGGGAGCCGCGCCGCATCCCGGGGCGAGCGTGGCGGGGGGCGGGGGGCCGGGAGCGGCGCGGGCGTCCCGGGGCAGCGGGCGCGGGGGCCGCCTCCGGCGCGGAGCCGCGCGGCGCCCAGGTGGCTTTTTCCCGCTCAGGTGAGCTCCTCCCGCCGCTCCCATTGGCCGGGGCGCCCGCGGCGCTGCGAGGACGACGCGGAACGGTCTAGTTCAGGGTCTAGGGCGGCGCGTCACTTCCGGTAGCGCGGAGCTTGTAAAACACCCTGGAGAGAAAATGGCGGCGGCAGCAGCGGCGGCGGCGGCGGCATCGGCGCCTCAGCAGCTCTCGGATGAGGAGCTTTTCTCTCAGCTGCGCCGTTACGGCCTGTCTCCGGGCCCCGTGACGGAGAGCACCCGCCCCGTCTACCTCAAGAAGCTGAAGAAGCTTCGCGAGGAGGAGCAGCAGCAGCAGCAACAGCAGCAGCAGCAGCAGCACCGGCTCGGCGGCCGCGGCGCCAAGACGCGGAACAGTAATAACAATAACACGGGCGCCGCGGTCGCCGCCGCGGGCATGGGGGTCCGGCCGGTGGCGGGCGACCTCGCCTTCCTGCGGACTCCGGGGGGCCCGGGCCGGACGCCGGCCGCGGGCTCGGAGGGCGGCGCGCCCGCCGGGCCGGGGGGCGCCGCGGCCGGCCTCGCGGCGGGCAGCAAAGTGCTGCTGGGCTTCAGCTCGGACGAGTCGGACGCCGAGGCCGGCGGCCCCCGCGAGCAGGCCGGCGGCAGGAAGGAGCGGGCGGCGCCGCCGCCGCCGCCGCCGTCGTCGTCGCCGTCGCCGTCGTCGTCGTCGTCGTCGTCTTCGTCCCGCGGGCTCGAGGGGACGCCCGCGCCGCCGGCCGAGCGCAGGAAGCCGCACTCGTGGTGGGGGGCCCGGCGGCCGGCGCCCCCCGAGCCGCCGAGCGCGGCGGCCCGCGAGGCGGCGGAGGACGAGCGCGGGGAGGGCGCCGACGGGGAGGACCGGGGCGCCGAGGCCGAGGAGCCGCGCTGGGCCAGCCGGGCGGTGAACGGCAGCCGGCTGCCCCCCTACAGCTGCCGGGAGAACTACTCGGACTCGGAGGAGGAAGAGGAGGACGAGGAGGACGAGGAGGATGAGATCGGCGGCGACGCGGCCTCGCCCCGCCTGGGAGCCAAGGACGACTCCCTGGCCCGCGCCCGGCCCCGACGGGGCCACGGGAAGCCCTTGCTCGCGCCGCCGGCGGCCAAGGGCAGCCGGCTGGAGCCCGCGGGCCCGGGAGGGGGCGGACTGGCGATGAATGACAGGGCGGCGGCCGCCAGCAGTCTAGACAGGAGCCGCAACCTCGAGCGGGCGGCGGCGGAGCGCGGCGCGGGGTGTGAGCCCTGGGACGCCGGCCACGCGCCCCGATTCCGGGCCAGCGCCAAGAAGCTGGCCCCGCTGCTGCCGCCCTCGCCGCTGCCCGACCGGGACCCTGGCTCGGACCCGGGCCCCGGCCCCCGGCTGAAGACCAACAACCACGTGGGCGGGGGCGCCTTCGGCGTGGACGCCCCCCGGATTTTCGCCAACAGCGTGCCGCCCGGGGCCGCGGCGGCCAGCCCCCCCTCCGGGGCGCTCCGGATCAACCACGCCAACCACACGGGCCCCAATCACACGTACCCCAAGACCCCCTACGGCAAACCGAAGCTCTCGGAACCCGAGGAGGAACTTCTGCAGCAGTTTAAGCGGGAGGAGGTGTCCCCCACGGGGGCGTTCAGTGCCCACTACCTGTCCATGTTTCTCTTGACTGCCGCCTGCCTCTTTTTCCTAATACTGGGGCTGACCTATCTGGGCATGCGAGGAACGGGAGTGTCCGAGGATGGAGGACTCGGCAGTAAGTATCAGACCTGGCGGATGAGAGGCCGTGGAGGGAGTGGAGGAGTGGTGTGCCTTCACCGCACCGGGCGCCTGACCTGCGGTGACTTTCACCTGCGGGCACCGAGGTTTGAAAGGTGGAATGAATGCAACAGATGGAGGGCGCTTGAGTCCTCCAACGACGCAGCACCGTGCGTAACTGCATCCCAGTGGAAATCCGATGGCAGGTTTTTTCATTTTTCTGTGTGATTGTATTGGAAAATAGGAAACATCTGAAAAGCTGAAAAAGGAGGTGAAGGAAAAAATTAACTGCCAGCTTGCTGTGTAGTAAATGCAGTTATGTGTGTGATTTACGTTTGGGTTTAGCCTTGAAGGAGTTGTATAGCTGCGGATGCCAGTTACTCAAGAGTTTTGAAGTATTTTGATAACGGGAACTGATACATGCAGTGATTTTTATTTATTTATTTATTTTTCAAACTCAGTTCTGATTTTGAAAGGGCAAGTGCAAGAGCTTTCCAGATTCTGGTTGCATACTTTATGGTAGGAAGTGTGTATATTGGTTTTTCTGTGCCGTCGTTAGTTAACGTGAGGGGCTTAAACAGGAAGGCGCACATCTTCAGTTGATTCCCCAAACTAAAGCTCTTTTCAGTGAAGAAGGTGATGGAGGACAGTGCAGGAGTTTGACTAGGCAAGTGTGTTTCATTCATTCAGCCAGCATCATCTTCAGTATTCAGGATATGCCAGTGGTTTAGTCTTCCCCTTCTTTAAAACAATATAAAGACGAATACGGGTCATTTGTTCTGTGAAGAAAATAACGATGGAGTAATTAATACTGGTTATAAATGTACCATATATATATTATATATGTATAATGGTTTCAGAGGATGCCAAACCCTGTGGTGCTTGGGACTTATTCTGGCTCTTTGCTCAGGGAACTTGAAGGACCATGTTCTGTGCTGGGTTCAACCCAGGGTCCACTGTGTACAAAGCAAGAACATTACCTCTGTACTCTCTCCTGTCCGGAAATAGTTTTATTTTAAATAACTTTGTTTTAGAATAGAATGTGAGAAAGGTATTATTTGAGGTGGAACCTGAATCAGACAGAAGGAGAGTATCTGCTCCAAAAGGGGAGCATTCTGGGTAGAAAGGACACACTGATGAAAGGCTTTGAATTGAGCAAGATCCAAGTGGTTAGGGCACCTTGAGTGAGCAAGAGTTTGAGTTTCTCTTTCCTAATCTGAGATGATGATACTAATGCCTGTGGACAGTAAGAGAAGATACAGTTACTGCATAATGTACTGCAGAATACATAGTTTCTCAAACTTCGCTCCCTCCAAAACTTTCTGCCCCTTTCACCCAACATGAATTCACTGTATCATTTGTGTTTATAAAGTTGACTTACTGTGTTTTATTTCAGAGTAGAATGAAATTTCCAGATTCAAATAAGGGTAGGAGTCAAGAATAGAGTGAACTTTGATTTAGATATAGCCACTTCTGAGATAGTCAAATAATAGATACTTTCATAGTTTGATTAAAGGAATTAACCAGAGAACTGAAATTCAGCACTTTATTGGTTCCCTGGGAGCAAAAGTGAAGTACTGTGTACTGATCTAGATATTTTGTGGAAAAAAGAAATAAGGTCACTCTAGAGGTTAAACTCGTAAATGTCACAAATTAAATGGCGTTACCTATCAACAGAGCCTGTTTTATTTCTTTAAGCATATCAACTATGATTTGGTCTGGCCCTTTTCTAATAACTTTTTATTCATTTTATCTCATTCAAGTTTTCCCACAACTCTGAATTTTTAGATGAGTATGATGAGACTCAAGAAATGCACTCATAATTGAACGAGTGGTGATACGACAAAGATTTGATTTCACACTTTTTTTCAAATGTAAGGCATTTTCTTAATACTACTTTGATTATGTTTGTAGAGTTTTCTAAAGAGGGGACTTTTATTAGGATATGGAAATAATCTATTATTTGTGAAGGAATTATCAGCACAATTCTCAGAGTGACTGTCATAACTTTTCACTGTAAGAGTCATTCATCTTAGGCATTAAATTCCAAATGGATTAGGAAGGGTTAGAAACGCTCAAATTTACACATACAGCTATAAAGTGTTGTATTAAGAAATAGTCAATATGGGATACCCTGGTAATGGAAAGATTAATGACTAAGTAGTAGAAGCTATAAGCTCTAGGACTTATGAAAATACCTTAATCAAGTTAATTAATCTTAAAGTCTCATTCTCATTCAATAATGGGAATAATAGAAGGCTTTATGTGATATTGTTCTAAGGAACAAATCAGGTAACTGGTAAAATTATACCCAGTATTCAAAAGTGTAGATAAAACTTGTATTTCTGTTAAACTACAACATAAAGAGAAATAGATCAGTCATTTCTAGAAATGGTGGCTCTTTCTATATCTAATACTTAATTTTTATTAAATACACTAAATTGGCATATTTGAGTCAGCGTAATCAATTTTAAAATGTGTTATATACATTTTTTTGTTGTTCATTTTTCGGCCACACCTTGGTGTTCCTCAGGGGTTACTCCTGGTTCTGCATGTACGGATCACTCCTGTTGGGCACTGGGGACCATTTGGGATGCTGGGAATCGAACCACATAGGCTTTGTTGCAAGTCAAGAGCCCTATCCACTGTGCTACTCCTCTGGCCCCAAATGCATTATATACATTACATGAACTATTTTATACCCTGGTGGAAAGAAGCTTGCTAGTTCAATTAGGCTGCACACTTAATGGTCAATAATTTTCACTCTACTGTGAGATTTTTGTCATACTATATTGGTTACTATATTGCTTAATTGTAGGGTTCATTGGTCAAAGAGTGTGCTTTTGAGTAATAATTTCTCCAGAAGATTGTAAGTTGTATGTGAGAGTAAATTTTAGTAAACTAAAAAGTTATTGCATAAATTGCTTATATTAGACTAGCCTTTTAAAGTTCTTAATCATTTGCTCCTTGAAAAAATTTCACTATCCTGGTCTTATTAAATTACTTTTTATTAGTTAAATAAAGGTTACTCTGAGACCCCATTTCTTCATCTGTAAAAGTAAGAGCATGTTGTGTTGGGTAACACTTAAGTTCTTTGCACTTGTAAGGTTTAATCTAAACTTTGAACTGCCTTTCCAAAACAACTTAAGTGTTGATTAGCTTGCACTCTGATTAGTTCATGACAACCCTCCTAAAGGAAATAGGCAGAATGGACTGACTACGTTAAGCTTATATGACATTATTTACAAATATTTTTAATTGCAAAAGACAGGATTTTTTTATAGAAAATTTGAATAGTGATCTGTGAATAAAAGCATGAATAGTCTTAATACCTTCCCTGGCTTATCCCTGTTACAAATAAGTTCAAATGACAGATCTTTTCAGAACTTCATGTTTTTCATTTTATTCAACAATAGAGTGGTACTGTTATCTGGTTGGAAATGAATTAAGCAAAGTAGGAACAGGTAGATCATGAACGTGTTAGCCAGTGAGCTTAGATTTTATCCAATAAGTAAAGCCACTAAACAATTTTAGTAGAGTAAACTATTGCATCCTTGCTTTAGAAATGTTGCTCTGATACTGAAAATTAGCCTAGTAGCAGACACCTGTTAGAAAGTTATTGCGGAGCCAGAGTGGTAGTGCGGCCGGTAGGCCAGCGTGGTGCAGCCTGTCCCGGGCACTCCTTATGGTTCCCTGAACCCTCCCAGGATCGATTCTTGAGCACCGCTGGGTGTGGGAAAGCAAAACAAAACAGAACAAAAACCGACCACTATTGAGATAGATAGTTCAGAAAAGAATCTAGTGATGATGGAGAGAAAAAAGATTGGTTCAAAAGATGTAGGAAAGTAGCAGGTAGTATAGGACTTGATAAACAAATAGACTGTGGTTTGAAATTTGGCAGGAAGAAGGGAAAGGAATCTTGGTAAATTCAAGATTTCTAGCATGAACTCTGGGTGGATTGATGTATCATTAACAAGTATTGAGGGAGCAAATCAAGATTAAAGTAGCACTGTCCTCCCATTATTCATCAATTTGCTCGAGCGGGCACCAGTAACGTCTCCATTGTGAGACTTGCTGTTACTGTTTTTGGCATATCGAATACGCCATGGAGAGTTTGCCAGGCTCAGTCGTGTGGGCGGGATACTCTCAGTAGCTTGCCGGGCTCTCCCAAGAGGGGGCGGAGGAATTGAACCCGGGTCAGCCGCGTGCAAGGCAGTCGCCCTACCTGCTGTGCTATTGCTCCAGCCCTAGGTTAAAGTAAGGACATCTAATGAGTGCCAGACAGTACTAGTACAATCTAGAAGATTCTGTTTCCCTTTGATATCCAAAATAGGAATATTTCTACTTGTCATGATTTGGTAGGTTATTGTGGGGGTTTTGGAATGCTCAGAGATATTACGTATAAATTAGTAATGGCATTCCCACAGTCCCCCCCACCCCCACCCCACCCCAATCACCCGCCAAATGATAACAAGAATATTCTACTTTGGGGTAGGAGGGAAAAACCTATGGTAAACTTAGAACTTAGGAGAAAAAAACTAAGGTAACAAAATAATTGAGTGGTATTAGGATACAATGAAATTCCTTATGAAAACTGGGAAGGAAAGATTAGGGCTAATGATAAAAAGAGTTCCAGAGACCGTCAATATTTAAAACAGGCAGTGAGTATAAATGAAAACTAGGGAGAGTAGAAATAGAGAAGTTTGGACAGAGATTCATGAAGAAGAGAGTTATCACTGTGTTGAATGTATCAAAGAGGTGGTGGTACTTTAATTTTCAGTTGGAGTCATGTCCAGCCGTACTCCGAGTACTATGTGATACTGGGACTGAGTTCAAGACCCTGACATGCTAGACATGTGCCTGCACTACTGCTTGCATTATTTGCCTGGCCCTCTTTTCTGCATTGTGCCTGAGACATGTCTACTAAATAATCACTTGCCTCATGGTGTCTTTAATCATTATGTGAATTAATGTATACAAAATATTTTTGGACATAAT